TGTAGATGATTAAGAGCCGAGAGCGGAGACTCATCTTGTCGCCCCGCTTCGCCCAAATGCTCATGGGTGCATTCATTTTGTTGAGCAACCCAGCAGAAGATTGTCCCAATCCAAATTGATTTCCATAATCCCAAACTTGTTTGTTATACGCATTAATCAATTGGCTGACAGCTGGGAACTAGCAACTATTTTTGTTGGGAAATTGAACCGGTCTGAACTTTTGTTCTTCTGGCGCCTCTCATGTGTGATCTCTATCTAAAGCTCTTTTTGGATCCGACAATGCGTTTTTCATTGGGTGGTGAAGGTTGTCTTAACTGTTCAGCGCTGTTCAGTGACAGGCTATAGACTTCATGGAACAAAATGCTTGCTGTCTTAGTAGTAACTCATCCGGTTATTTAAGGAACAGGTGTAACACAAGCCAAAGGAGCTTAGCGCTAAATGATATGTCCTTTATGTAAACACCCTCCTAACCTCTCAGAAGGTCTTTTGGTTGCCGTAGCTTAACATAACCTGAACGTGCATGTATGGATTTGTATGAACAGCAAACTGGCTGCTGGCCAGCTAATATGCTAGTGTGATTTAAAGTAAATCTCTACCCAGCAGCTAATCTAGAGGGTTTGTTTCTGTTTTGAATTGTGTTTGAAATCATTTACAGTGTTTGTCACAAGCTGATGCTTGTAGGTAAGTCACCATCACCAAGTGGGACCAAGGCCCCAATTCTGTAAATAAGATCCAGCTTGATAAATACCAGGTGATCCTTTAGAATCCAGCAATCACTGCATGGAACTGTGGTGTTGACAGATGGAGATTCAATTGATTCATTTTACTTCCCACCTCTCAAGCCCCTTTTCAAGCAGTCAAGTCTCTGTTGAGCCTGCGATGTGGCTTCTAATGTCTTTTTTAAGAGTCGGCTTGGCAACTTGTTAGCGGTTGTAGCACAGGTCCTTATTTACAGGCCCATAAAGATACGATGACAGCCCCTCACGGCTGAACGGACAGACGGACAGGTGCGTGCGGGGTGTTGGGGTGTGAGTGTGTTTAATAGATATGTTTCCCAAGTGATGAGCTCAGTGGAAGATCCAATAAGAAGGACAACGCTGTGTGAGTGGCACAACCTTCACACACACACACGGACAAAAACACATTATATAATTCATCCCATTTGGAGAATCGATGCTAATCATTAGCGTCTGATCAGTAGGAGGACAACGGGGAGTCGCTTGAAACAACGATTGTCTGTGACCTAGAAAAGACGTGAGTGTGAGATGAAACCCTCCAAACGTCCCCTTCCTGCAATCAGCCAACTCCTGGCTCTCACACACACACACACACACACCCTGACGTGGATGCCAAACAGCACGCAGTGGCTGGATATGCTCCCTCTCGTTTGAATCACAACTCTTCGCTCTCCAGCGATTCTGCATAAAAACTGGGCCAGCAAGTAGCCACAGAAATCCTTTTATAACTGAGCTAAAAAAAGCCTTTTCAAATATGCATTTTGCTTCCTCATGTAAGTTCATTTAAGGCTAACGTGTTTTTGCTAGAGACAAGAGTAGGTAAACTATTCCTTCTCTTAGTTGTCTTCATGCATGTATAAATACAAACAATTTAACAAATGTGTTCTGCCACATGAGATCAACATAACTCAACGTTTACTAGAAATGTATCTTCAGGATGTGTTTACTCTAAATAATAACTTCATGTGCCCCCTTAGATCAAAAGGTAACTTGGTTTGTTGAAGCGATGATGGCAGCTGTAGGATATTAGAAGTAAACTGACGACCCGGTTCATAAAATTACTAAAATGCATATAGTGTACACCAGAATACAGCCATGGTTCTGAAACGGTGTAATCAATAAAGTAATGACAATGTTGTAAAACCACTGTAATTCTGCAACTGTAATAGAACAATACCAATGCAGTTATGATTGTATTTGATGTAATGTAATCAACTGGAATGCATGCATGTAATACTTGACCAGACCACAACTGATATTGACTAAGGGCCATTCAAAATCCGAGTTACATTGAACTCACCAGAAGACCACTCCCAGAGGAGTGGACACGAACTTTCACACCTTTAACCATTGGTATAAATACATGTAGGAACCATTGTTCTGGAGTTCGCTGGTGGAGGCAACAGACGGGCACTAGGGATGGTCAAAGGACTGACCTGGGGCCTGTTGTTTGCAAAGACCAGCGGCTCCTCAGCTGAGATGTTCTCTTTACCACAACACCATCTCATTCATTAAACACATTTGATTTTAACCTTTCGATCTGCGATGCCCTTTGTCCGTCCGGCGTTTCTTCATTTTTGAACCCAACCGTTTAACCGCCCTTCTCCAACCAGGTGTTGGATACATAGTTCCTCCCATCCTCGGCAGCAGAGTCAGAGGTGTGGTAACATGATTCTTGTGGAGAACAAAGAGAAGTTCCAGTAGAGCTTAATGGATGAAGCGCTGGGCTGCTGCCAAGATGACGGGTTTGATTCAACCCAACAGCGACCTGCACACATAACAGTATCCTGTGTGCAGGAAGCCCAGTCGTCAGCACTGGGAAAAACTGCCCCCCAAAAAACTGCTAATGGGAGAAGAAAGGAGGAGACGTTAGGAAGAGAGCGGCAGAGGAGGGATCCCTCTCACACGGACAGAGTGCAATAGTTAGAACATCAAAAATAGTATACTTACTGTTTCTAAAATACAGTTTAATAGTATTTTATGTCCTTGGTTCATCTTTTAAAGGAACAATGAGATGATTGAACAATGTGATAGAAAGAGAAGCCGTTGACTAGGCAACGCTCCATGTGATGCATTGTCCACATATTCTCTTCAGTTCATGTAATAGAATGTTATCATCTTTGCTTTTTTCTCATCCTTCAGCTTAAATACCCTCCGAGATTATCAATGATTGTAACAATGGGATTTAATGGAGAATATAGGCCAACACACTGGTGTTAAACGGGAGCAGCAGGATCCCTGAGGCGTGGAGACTCATCACTGGCATAATTATTGCTGCTGTAGAGTCAGGCGGCATAGAGAGATGTATTTTTTTATTCACTCACTGCAGATGGCTTGCGAGAGGTTATAGTGAACACAAACGTCATGTCTTTTTAACCCATCCACACGATGCTGCTACTTGTTGTGTTGCTATCATGCTGTGCGCCAGTGGATGATTATCAGACATTAGCGATTTCTGTAAAGGGATTCACCCAGTGGAAGGGAGTGCATGTGGGGGAGGTGAGAGAAATATAAAAGAGAAAGATGGCTAATTAGTCTCAGGGAGCACGTAGCTTATGTAAAAAGTTGCAACAGGTAAACAAAGGCACACGCGAGTTAAGAGCAGTTTGCAGTTACTAAGGGATGCAGGATTCCCATACTCACTGCCATAAAACGGGACCTGCCAAACGGACCTCTCCCTCCGTCCCTCCATCCCTCCCTCCATCCCTCCCTCCCTCCTTGCCCTCTTTTTCTGGTATTCTTGTCAGTGACTCACCTGTACTTATGCTCAGTGGCTCACAGGAGATTGGGACTGTTTTGAGCACCTGAGGCCAAAATGAAAGAGGACAAAAAAATGTAATTTCTTTTTGTGGTGGAGATAATATAGTTACCGTACATGCATTAAATGTGTGTGTGTGTGTGAGTGTGTGTGTGTGCATAACAGCGTGCAGACTCCATGTGTATGTGTGCGTATGCTTCTAGCAACTATAAATACGCAGTAAACGCACTAAGCTCAGCTGACATTTCTGCTGCCAGGCAGGATCAGTTTTTCCATCCATCCTGCAGGACAATGGACACAGCTGCCCCTCTGCCTCGCCGTCCCTGCCTCATTCTGTGTGTTCGGGTGTGTGCGCGCGTGCACCCGGTGTTCATTATGGTCAGTCCCTCCTGTCTAGAAGCAGGATGTGAACAAAATAACTAAACTAGAATCCATGCAAGTGACACAGCAGAGCAGCTGGAGCTTTGGGAAGTTTAAGGACATAAATTCCTTTTCCTGTGTGCATGTGCCGCACAGTCCATTTAAACTACAACCACCTCCTTCTCTCTGACTGTTGCGTGGTCGAGCAGAAATGTTTAATTTTCTCAGTAAAACAAGTATCCAAATGATATTTTCATTGGCGCTGTGTTTGTGCCGAGCAACACAAACAGTAGAAAATTCCATGGACACGCGTACAGATTTTCCATTGAGTGACTGTTTCTCAAATTGCCTTGAGGCCGGGCTGGCATGTGGATATTGGACCGATCAATGCGTGGAAATTTTGGCCCAGGAGTATTTATTGAACACCTACGATGATTGTGTGTGTTTGTCTGTGTGTGTTTGCAGAAAGAGTCAACATGTGTGTCCAAACTCAAATTCCTTATGTGAGAGATTTTCATTCCTTACGATTCCCACAATCCACTGAAGGACTAGACATGATGTCATTGAACACCCCCTTGAGGAGGCCAGGGGTCAGAGTGTGTGTTTGTGTGTGTGTGAGACAGACACAGTGAGAAAAGAGAGGCGTCCTACTCAGACTGTCTACACAGTGAGTGTATTTTAGGTGTTATGGGCCAAACCTCAGAGTGCACTTTGTTTAGAGAGAGACAGGGGAGAAAGTACACGCAGGGTAATGAAAACATTAAGGATGTACAAGTGTGAAAAACATGCACACATAAACATATGTGTGTATTTGTGACACCAGTTACAGAAATTAGTGGAAGAAAAAGTAGGAAAAAAAGAGACAAAAAGGAAATCAGGATAAGTGAAGGGCTTGTGACAGAGGACTCAGAGACAAAGGAGGGATGATGTGCAAAATGAAAGAGGATAAGACGGAGTTGGAGAGAAAACTGGTAAAGGGAGGGAGAGAAACAGAAGGAGAGAGAGAGAGGGAGAGAGCGAGAGAGGGCGGGGACGGGAAAAAATGTCCTAGATTCCCATGTCATTTAATAGGGAGCAAACCAATCTGAGCTTATAATGTGACTGGCTGAGCAGGGGGCAAAGTGACAGCATGTGTGTGTTGTGTGACAGAGTGAGCAGAGGAGAGAGAGCAGAATATCTGTGACTCCATATCTGCACGTGTGTGTGTGAGTACAGACAACATATGTGGCACCGCAAATAGGTGAGCACACGTGAAGACGTGTGGACGTTCAGCCTGCAGAAAGATTGGAACTAAGGACTGTTAAATACTGCTTTTCTCTTTTCCAATTATGTTATTCCAAGTTGGATTTTCCTACTTTTCTTCTTCTTCTTCTTGTTCTTCTTCCAAGTCTTATCTTGGACCTTCATCCGGAGAACAACTTCACTTTCCCTTGAGCTTTAATCCCACCCTCACATGAGTCCTCCGCTCGGCGCAGCGCTGCGTGGGCGAGGCGGCCTACCTGGATTACTCTGAGCGTACATGTTTGTGGGACAGAATCACAGAAGACCGAAGAGACTGAAAGACAGGATCAAGTGAAGACGGGAGAAGATGTACCTGTACAAAGCAACGTGCCCGGACATCCCCAACCCCAAGCAGAAGGGCTCCAGAGGTCCCGGCGGGGCCCAGGCCCAAGGCCTCGGTCAGGGGGGGCTCGCCAGGCAGACGTCCACGGGGACGGGGACGCGACCCTACGCTCCGCTGATGTTGTGGACGCCAAACAAATCCAAAATTGCGGCGCATCTCAAACAGCTGGAGGAGTTCCTCAACTTCCACTCGCTGTCGCTGCAGGACGCCGTCAAGAGCCAGACAGGCATGATCTACAGGTAAGCTCTGTCTCGCGTGTGTGTGTGTGTGTGTGACTCTTTGTGGGACCGTCCGGGAGACCTTTTACAGCGGGACACGTTAGGACTCCGAGGCCCACGCAATTTATTGCCACAATGACCACAGCAGCTGGTTGGTTGTGGAGTTGTTGGGCAACTGTTGGATTGAAAAGGCTTCGTGTGATGTCATGTTTGTTGACTGGTTGAGGGATACTGGTGTTCATCACACCAGTAGCTTAAATAGTGACTAACAATGATCTGACGTGTGGAAAGAAATGTTCAACCACAAACCGCTTCTTTGTTTCCAACAGTTAAAAGTTCGTCGGAGTTTTATAATGCGATGACCACCGCTTCATGTTGTCTATTGATCCGACTGTGATACTCAACAGTCGGCTGATTGCTCTCTAAGGGGAATACATTTAGTGTAATGTTGTATGAGTAAGTAAGATAATACTTTAACTCTGGTGGTCTTTGACAAATTCACACTCAAAATGAACAAAGAGGCGAAAACAGGATTTAACAACGAATGCTGCACTCATTTTGTAGTGTGTCACATCTCCTGTCACAAGCTGGATTGTCCCAAATTTGATTTGCTACCTTCTCCTGAAGTTTTCCGTGATATTTAAGCAACTTTGTCCCGGTACTCATATGTGCACACACTAATTCTTATTGTATAACTTTGCTCCTTCGCTTCACAGTCCTTCTAAAACTCAACCAAATCCTTTTAAACGTGACCTGCATTTCAAAACAGGTAACGTCTCTCTCATAGTTATGCTTCACGGTCATGCGTAGATCCGTACACAGAATAGAACAAAAATGAGATTGAAACGTCGCTGCTCAGCACCCCAGGCCAGAAAGCAGCTTGTAGCCGCTCTGCCTTCAACAATTGTTGTTGTTGTTGTTGTTGTTTCCAAGGGAGACGAACGAGCCGGACGATGTCTTTTATTCTCAGATAGAGTTTGTTTTGCCTATGCGGCCTGTGATTAATCGTTCACCTTGGCCAACGCCAATCACAAAGTATCCGAATCAGGCTTCATGGTGTTGATTAGAAACAAAGTGTTCATCGGTGATTTATATTTGGAGAGACGGCTGGTTTAACATTTCCATGAACTGTATTTTTAAACGTGTGATCTCATCACTGATTCTGCGGCTTTGTACTACAAACGTGTTTGACCATATTGCAATCAGTGTAATAATAGCGTGACCTAAACTTTGGGTGCAAAAGGCCGTGACTTCTACTCTCCCCCCTTCGCGTCCACCAACGGAGGGAGGCAAAGGGGGGCGGCCGGGGGGGAGGGGGCAGGGTGATGGCAGTCTGTCTCTCTGTTGGGTCAGTGGGAGCTCATATGGCGACGTGCTGTTAAGAGTTTCACCTCGGGACGTTGCCATACGTGTGCACACGGGCCTGTTTGTGTGTGTGCGCGCGCGTGTGTCTGTATGTGTGTGTGTATGTGTGTGTGTGTGTCTATGTGTGTGTGTGTGTGTGGGTTGGAATGTTTGTTCATTGCCATGGTAACCTGATAAAACAGCTGGCTGGGGACTTCCTTTTCCAGGTCAGTGTGTATTAGTGGTCAAGACCTGCGCTGGTCACTCTGTCCACACAGACACGCTCTCGCTCAAACAGGAGAAAAATCTATTTTTGTTGAAATGCATTAATGAGCTCGCCAAAGGAAAAGAGGCGAATGTGTGTGAGTTTTCCTTCATGACGTGTCCGCCTCTGTTGAGTCGTGACATCATCAAGGCTGTGGAAGCCTTTTCTAAACAAACCATTTTGGCTTGTGATCCCTTACGATTCTCTATCGGAGGCTGAACAAAAGATTATTTTACCAACAAAAAATGATATGTCATGTCACAGAGTTGTCTCTTTTTCTTGGATGTGGACTGTAAAGCGAGAGTCGGTGCATCCGCCCCAGATGAAGATGATTGTGTCTGGATTAATGACACATGATTTTTCCCCAAATATGTCCAGTTAGGTTGAAAGATGTTGTGGACAAAAAAGTACTTTGAAAAAAGTCCAAACATGTTATGGCAAAAATATGTCATGGAAATAAAAGCCCAAAAATTATATTGGCTAAAAAAACCCCATCATGATGCAGTGATGCTTGTTTACACTTTCTGTACTTTTTGTGATTATAATGCCATGTTTTCATTTGGGCAGCTAAATTAATATTAAGCTGAAAAAAAAGTATTATTTTTAACCATTAACCTGTAAATAAACCAAAAGCACAGTAAATCCCCTTTTAACCCAAATGGAAAATGCACTGTGTTGATTTATTTTTTAAAACACAGACCGTATTAAAGCAGTAATCAATTTAATCAACCTAGTGAATAGATAAATTAATCAAATGCCCCTCATATTAATGGATACAGAGCAAGAAATCCTGGGTAAAGAAGAGGCAGTGTGTGGCGGGGCATTTGGTGCAACAGGGTGGGGGGCAGAAAGTGCCATTATGAAGCACACGCCGTGTGTGTTTGTGTGTGTGTGTGTGTGTGTGTGTGTGTGTGTGTGCGTGCGAACAGTCCATCTGATTAATACAGACTCGGTGAAAGTGAGACAGTGAGTTACAACGTCCACACAGTTGCTCTCCTCCTTTGTCACTCACTTTGTTCCTTTGTGCTGATTTTGCATCTTTGCATTGAGTGCATCGTAAACCACTTTAATGAGAGCCGTGGAAAATAATGGGCAAATTGAGTGCATTACCAATGATCCCATATCCTAACCTCTAAACTACTTTCTTCATCCTCACGATCTACTCCTGATACATGCTGATACATGCTGTTATTTTCCCAAGAAGACTGAATTCATTATAAAATGCAATGATAAATATCCCTTTTGCAGCAGAGAACTTACTTAATTTTTCATGGATGTGAAGAAAAATGCCCATCTGCTTAAAGGGATCTGATGCATTTAAAAATCGACATGCTATATAGAGTACCAACAAATGTGCTCTCACACACTGTTTCAAGCATGCATGTGATTATTGTTCTCTCTAGAGATGGATCTTACTATGAATTATATATTATTACTGTCATTTAAATGAACTCCAACACTTGAATCGGATGGAATGATGTCTCACTTTATATTCTGGATAGTTTCTGTCTGTCTGTTTCTAATCGTGCTGTAACCAACAGAAACAGGAAAAGCACAAATGAGTAAAACTGCATTCAACTAGCGATTAACAGACCACACACACACACACACACACACACACACACACACACACACACACACACACACACACACACACACAATCAGACATACACGCATGCAGATAAATGTGTCAATTGCTCATCCTTTATTCATCTTGGAAAACAAGTGAATATTTAACATGGGACTTGGTATCCTCTCTGAATACTTAATTGATCAGGTGGCTACAGTGTGTTTGTATGTGTGTGTGCGTGTGTGTGTGTGTGTGTGTGTGTGTGTGTGTGTATGCATCCAATTTGATCTCTAGCACTTTAAATGTTCATGATGTCAATTTGATTGGTAGGAAATTCGTTACGCTGCTTCGACTGTTTCAATTGGCAAAGCGTGCGTGTTTGTTGCAGTGGATTCACATTTATTTCAAGCATCAAGACTCTTTTTGGCTAATTACCTGCATTGGAACTTATTGGTGATTGGTTTTAGAGCCTTTTGTTATATTGTAGATGCTTTAAAATTATTTAAAGCCCTGTGGTGGTTTGGAAAGATAGGCTTCACATTCTAGGATCATGAGAAAACAAGTATTTAGTACCTGTTACGTCATAATCAATTACTTTAGAAATGGCTAAAGTAATCACATCACTTTGTTTTAAAAAGATCCAAAAATCCTTTTAAGCGGGGGTTTATTTAAATTTACAGCAATATACCCTTGGGATCCTAAGGATTATTTCACCTTTAGAATAATTATAATTGATTTTAAAAGATTTACCTATTGTTAAATATCACGTTTTCATCAAGTTTCTTCAAATGGGAGAAAACAGCGCCCTGTTGAGTCAGTGTGGTGAAGGATGGTATTGCACTCGTTCATATTTGGCATGCATATGGTCAGTTGAGAATAAGAATACTCAAAGAGAAATGCTTAGTTTAAGTGCTGCTTAATCAATGTTTTTGTGCGATCCTTTTGTGAGCGGCCTGTCGCTGCCGCTCCCGCATTTCTTCAAATGTCACGTCTCATTGACCAGTTCATTCCCTTGAGGACAACCCTAATCTACTGTATGTACCAACATTTGGGACGGCAGTTTTGGTCCCCATTACTACTATTATGCAACAAAAGGCACCCACGAAAACACACATCACCACCTCATTAGTCGAGCAATCAGCGACATTATTATTGAAGAAATGAAGGGCTATTGCATGCATATCTGTACCCCTCAGTCCGTCTCCGCGCACTCTGCATGCTCTATGCTTTACACATGGTCACAGCTTTAGGGAAAAATAATATCAATATGTCCCCCTGTTGTTGCTGAGAAATGCATACAACGCTGCAAGCTGTGAAAGTAAAGAACGTCTTCCAATAAGCGTCGGTGACCCACCTGTCTGTGTCTTTGTTTGGCCCCCGTCTCTCTCCGCTCTGGTCTTTAAGTATCGCTGACTCCCTCATCCCCTCTGCTGGTATGTGTCCATTATTGATGAGAGCTGATAAGCGGTTATTTAAGAGGCACGGCTGTCCTTGGGCCTCCCTGGGGTTGCCTGAGGACACGCTCTCCCACACCGCTTCAAGTAAATGAGAAAAGGAACCCTACGCTCTTAAAAGTGAGTAACACACTTAAAAGTAACACACTCATCCATTTTTTTTTAAAACTTTAAATCTATTAGCTGATGTGCAAGTTGACTCTGTGGCCTCGGGGCACAAAATACCGCAGCTCATGACGCTAGACGGCGTGTGTGTGGTTTTTGCACATATTCATGCAACCCTGTGAGTGTTGTGACAGGATGTGGACTGCTGTCGGCTCACACACAGTTCACCTTTCAAGATAAGAGCAGCAGTTAGAAAACCTCATTTGCACTGATGATGCACATA